AGGACATCAACCAGCCAGGCAGAGGCACCTTCCCCATTGAGGGTTCGGAAATTCCAGGTGCATGCCATCAAATCGTAGTCCATTAAACATTTGCTGTGGTCATCATAATAAAGGGGGATCTCATCCGAGGCATTGTTTCGCTTCTTCACTGGAAGGGGTTTTACGTGGCGGGTCTCAAACCCAGCGCACAACCCATTACTGGGANGGGGGTGGTTTCGCAACCAAATACACGTTTATATAGCGAGCCGCTTGCTCCAAGCAGACACCCGCTTGCAGCCGCACCTACTGGTGAACAGACGCTGCAGACTTCAGTGAGCCCTTAAACCGAATAAGTCAGAGTGGTCCCAGCGAAGCTCTCTCTTTTTGCGGTGACCCTAGGCGCCATTCGGATTGGTAACCGCATCTCGCACACGGGTTGGTGATGAAAATGTTAGATAATTTGATGTCCTTTCAGACACTTTTATTTGCCAGAAGCCCTTTTGTAAACAGCTTACTGCCTGAAACTTTTGCTGCAATCTCTTCGACGGTCTTCATTGGAAAATGACGACGCTTTATATTCTTGTTTAACTCCGTAGGGTCCACACATATTCTGATTTTGTTTCCTTCATTTACTATAATCATTGGCTTTACTGCAGGGGTAGGTTTGCTAATCGGCTCGATCACTTTTAGTTTTACCATTTTTTTAGCTCTTTTTTCGTTAAACCTAAAAAGTCTAGTTGGTTTTGTGTTATTTAGTGGAAGATTGATTCATATTTTTAGAAAAAAATGTGTACGAATGTAACGAAGCCAGTCAAATAATCTGTTACNCAGGTAGTATCAGTAGAGCAGCTGATTTGATTTATTTTCAAATTATTTGGTCTCGAAAATGTCAAATATTTTTAATTTTTTCTCACAAAAATTCTGAATTGTTAAAATCCATTTGCATGTGAAACCTTTTTCCATACAAAACAAGCGATTGAATAGCAGCTTTTGGAACGTTCGCCCAACTCAGCAGCACAACCGCTGATTACTGGCCCTTGTAAAGGATGGATCAATGCTTCGAGAAGCAAACAAATTTACTAGGAAAGAAAGTTGCATCAATTTTTATTTTTTCCAATTTCAATTTTTTATTTTTTATAATTTTTTGTATTTCACATGGCACGCTTTGATTTAGAAGAAAAAATTCAGAACAGTTTTTGACACTTTCGATACCAGAAGCAACAACAAAATCCACGCAAATGTTGTTTTTGCTCTACTGTTACTACCTGTTTAATGTGCCTTGATCTGTTACTATCAACTTATTCCCTTATCAAGCTTATTAATTGTGTGACGAAATCTCCAAAACGAAAATTTTGAATTACGTCGACGTTTACATGATGCAATAATGAAAGGTGTTGCTCGAAATCGAACTACCATAGGTCAATATTGTTTTTTGGAAGTACAAGAAAAACGGGAAGAAAAAAAGCCTTTTAGTTGAAAAAGTACTAAATTTTATGCCTTCTCAAGGGATACTTTGAGGAATCATATAAACAATTAATTATACATTACCCAAGTTCACGTACATCCAAGTTCGAGTCATACAGCAAGCTTTTTAATGTTTTATTTATTTGTTTTTGAAATTAACAACGGATATCAAAATTTATAATTAATACGTTGTGTTCATTTTAGTAAATCCACTTCGATTTTTAATTGTACAACATTTATTATATACATACAGTATCGGTCATATCAATAGCAACCCCATTTCAAAGTAATATTATTTCCCTCTCATGTTAATTTATTTCTAAGAATTTGCAATTAAAATAAAGTTCAATTTCTAACAAAACCCATATAAACCCAATTTTAAAACTTCGTAGAAAACTACAAAAAATACAACAAATTTTCACCCAAAACTCACACTTTTTTCTCAGAAGTGTTAGAATTTTTTTGAGCACTCAGTTTTATAACCCCCTCAATTTTAGTCTTATTATATGCAAGTTTAAAGTGTCTAAAAATTACCGTTGATTTTTTAGAATCGACATAAAAACAAATCGTGTTTAATCGTCTTCCATATGCATCATGGACATATTATTGAACATGCGATATATTGTGTGCATACATTTTTGCGATAATTTTTCAAGTTCGTTTCTCGTTTGTTTTAGACTTTATTAAACGATACTGTCTTTTTATTCTAAAAACAAAATTGTATGTTTTGATTCGATGCTTTAGAAATATCCAGATTTTTGCCCACATATATATTGTAAATGTCCGATTTACAATACCTACCGCCTACAGATATTAAAACAAAAAAAACTGGTAGAAACCGGTTTGGAAAAATCGAGTATCTCCCTAGATCATAACAAACCCGTTATATACCGAGTTTAATAACAGCTATTTCCTATCTTCTTTTACCTCATTCTTGTAGTTGATTTTGAACTATTTAAAACATTGCCTCNAATGTCCGATTTACAATACCTACCGCCTACAGATATTAAAACAAAAAAAAACTGGTAGAAACCGGTTTGGAAAAATCGAGTATCTCCCTAGATCATAACAAACCCGTTATATACCGAGTTTAATAACAGCTATTTATTATCTTCTTTTACCTCATTCTTGTAGTTGATTTTGAACTATTTAAAACATTGCCTTTGCGCAAACTTGGTCTCGCATGCGGCCGTTTTACGGCGGATATCGAAATATGACCATTTCGATCGTGTCTATTGTATCACAGCATTGCTGGAATTCCTCGAGGGTATTTTGGAGGGTGTAACTTGTAGGTAAGTAATTTATGTTCTAAGTGTTTCTCATGCTTCTATTTACTTAGCTAATAATCGCATATCTCCAGAAACAAGCCAGAAGAAGCCATACTACCTAATGCAGTGGCTTCATTGATATATTGGATTATGCAAATAGTCGCAATGGTTATGAAAAATTTTGAAATCGGTGGTGAAATTAGCGCTGAGCAATCTTATATGTTTGAACGTACTTGCGTTATTATCGAAAAATTTACCTCCAACCAATTTCTTATGGGCATATATTATATCGGTTGCTATGATGATATTGAAACATATGGAAAAATACGTGACAAATTTAACGGTGTGAAGAATATTTTAAGTACTAGTCATTTATCTTCTCGTAACCATTACATAACACAATGCCTACAACAGCTAGCATATTTGGACGCCACTAAGTTAACAATGCCGCGTTTGAATTCAAAAGGCTTGGACTCGATTAGCTACTGTGTGCAGCCTCTTTTGGCCGTGGAGGTGTTACTAAATCCCTGTAACGACACCTCTTACTTTGTGGCTGAACTGCAAATGATTCAACGTCTCAAGAACTATTCGCTAACGCGTTTGATTTACGAAATAGTAAGAGCTGGATTCATTTCACTTAGCAATGTAGTAGAAGTAAGTCGAGACACTTTATGGGGCGCATTTACATTTTTCAAAGTACCACACATCATAAAGCAGTTGCATGTATTGCAGCGATGTAAGTTTGAATCGAAATAATGTCAGTTCGTAAATAAAATCCGCAATTTTACTGAAAAGAACTAAACTCTGTTATTCAACTGTTACGCAACTGTTTACTCTTGCTGAACAGTTCCATAAATTATAGTTTTGAAATAAAACGGAATTGTTTTTGCAGTAATCCCGCAGTATTTCATTTACGAACTAACCCAAACTTCGATAGTTGAAAAGTCTAACCTGACTTGCTATTTGTTATATTTAAGCGAATGAAGAGCAAACGCCAACAGATCATATCCCCGAAGTTGTTGAGGCCTTCGAATTGCTTTTAGAAGACAACTTGCTGCTCGATTTAATGGATACAAAATGTTCATGCAATATTATTGAGTATCTGTTGAATGATTGGACTAAGCAGCATTTGGTCACTGATGTGCATGTGAAACATTTTGCAACTCAACGGTGAGTAAAAGAAATAATTTACCAGTGGTACGACAACGTTAGGCCCGACAAACGGCGCAATTGATCCGACTAAAATTGTAATACTGCGGATTAAGCAAACTGCAACAGGTAATGTTTCTTTGTGGTATTGTTCGAAGCCCGGTAATAATTAAATAAAATGAAATGAAAATAAAATATAATAAAAAAGCACAAAAAATTAAATTTAGTAAAAAATAAAATAAAATACAGTCATTAGAAATGTTTTAAAATAATTTTTTAACGTTGCCCGGATGTGGGATCGAACCCGCGCGTTACCACTCAGCTACGGCGATCGCCAAATTTGTGTTTTTCGTTTATATTGACAGTGTTATCGAGGCTTGTCTTTGAAAATGCTTCTATTTCTCTTTAATTTTGAAAATTAGTGAAGGAGTTAATCGTGATATGCTGCAGTTAAACCTCGAGATGATTCTCGTTACTCTGGACTAACGCTATCTCCCTAAGCTTTTGTTTATTTATTTATTTTTCCTATAACTTATAAATTAATTTGAAAGCTATTTAAAACATAGGGGACCTGGTTTCAAAGACCATTTTGTTCCCTGTTTTCAATTAATATTATTTTGGTATGTAGTATTTTGTAAGTTCTATGTGTTATACTTCATAGTAAACTTGTGGATTTTTAACACGTTGCTAATTATACCGATTGGTATCTATTTTACTACAGTCTAATGCGATGTCTATTAGTCCGGCTACTTTCGATGTTGGACATTGTTGCAGCATATGTTGCACCGTTAATGTGGTGCGGCAGTTAGAACACTCCTTCGGGTTGTTTCCGGTGTTGTTTTTGTTGTAGCAGCATACAAATTGCCCAAAGAATTTTTGGGGAGCGTTGCTGGTGTAACAGTGTGCGGTATTGAAGATAGTGGCATTTGTCCTCATTCTAGAAATTGTAATGCATTCTTCCCGACTAAAGTTTTTACATTATTTGGGATGTTTCGGGAGTTCGTTGTGCATTCGCAGAAATGATTTTGAGTCCTTCCAATTTTTCTGGTAGTCTTCTTCTTGCATGTTGTAGCAAAAGTTGGTTATAATGGAACTTAGGCAGGAAACTTCTGTTGTTAATGGAATCGACAAAGCCTCAGCCGCTTTGCTGTCAGCCATCTCGTTTCCTTTTATTCCAACATTTCCTGTCAGCCACAATAGTTTTATTATAGGGCCTTGATCTTTAAGTATATCGTCGTTTAAAGTACAAAACAGTGAATGTCAGTTACGCGGTTTTGCAGAATGACGATACGCGGTTTTGTACTTTAAACGACGATATGCTGAATTAAATTGCTGTTTCTGGTAGATGCAAGATGTTTACCAACGTTTAAGCTATTGGAACATATTAAAGCTTTGAGATTTGTTGATGCTGCGTGTTGTTGTTGTTGTTAACGCGGCTACAACAACCCCGCCCAGATCGTTGTCGTCAAGCTCCACTAACGGCAGCCCTAAGAAGCGTGCAGCATCAATGGGGTCGGTTCACAGGGACAAAGGCGTTAGGGACTACTCATTTGTGCAATATTAAAAAAAAATTCAACAAACTTTCGTACAAATTTCGAACTTTTAAAAATTCTAAAAAATCAATCGACATTTTTAGCCATTTGAAACGTGTACTTTATTCTACTAGAATTCAATGGGCTACAAAACTGCATACTCAGAATTTAATTAAAAAACTCGAAATTTTAACAAAAATTTGTAGAATTTTTTTTTTAATTGCATAAATTTTGAAGGCAATGTCACTCAATTGGTACATTTGTACAGATTTGTAAATTTTTATAATGGGCTATTGGTAAAAAAAAGTGGGAATTTCTTTTTGCATTCAAAAGATTAGTACAATACAGCAATGTTTTATTGAAAAATTTCAATAAATAAATTTTCGTGATTGGGATAGTGAAAAATATTTTGGGTGTTCAAACAATTGGGATACGATTTACTCCAAATTTTAGCAAATAACCAATCGTGTGACACTGCCTTTAAACTTGTATTTATACGGATGTTGGTAAAGAACGAACTATAAAAGACTAACCGAAATTAAATAACAACAAAAGTAATATTTTAAAACTTGTCAAAAGTTGGTGCGGATATAATTTTTTCGACTACTGTACATAAGTTGGCTATGATTACTCGGCCGTGCTATCATGGTAGCACAATGCCACACATATTTGACTTACAAACAAACTACGGGCAGGAATTTCAAGATTTTAACCCTGTTTAAATGAAAATTTTTTTTTTTATCAGTATTTTTCTTTTAATCAAAATATGTTGAAATAAAAGTGAAACTAAAAAAAAATTGCCAGTATATATATATATATATATCTTTATATTTCTTAAATATTGGCTGAAGACCTCTTAGTACCACATATCGATGGCTGAGTGGAAGATCGACCTATCTCGGCAGCCAGTTCGAAAACATTCTATCTCAAAAAACTTTTCAAGAACGCTCTATTTCAGAATTCGTTTGAAAAACGCCCTATCTCAGCTGCCGATTCAAAAACGCCCTATAACAGCATATTTTCAATACATTTTGAAGTGAGATAGGGCATTTTTGAACCGAATTTTGAGATAGGGTGTTTTTCAATAAAATTCTGAAATAGGGCGTTCTTGAAAAGTTTTTTGAGATAGAGCGTTTTCGAACTGGCAGCCGAGATAGGTCGATCTTCCACTCAGCCATCGATATAATGATTTACAATATTGAACGTAATCCCTATTAATATTATAAAAAGCTTATCGAGGGCTTATATTCAATACCCTCTATCTGCAAAAACTCAATTTTTCAGGAGAGCAAAAAAACTGTTTCCAAGTTGGATAGGGAAGCAAAGCGCATGGGTCTGGTGGTAAACGAGGACAAGACGAAGTATCTCCTGTCATCAAACAAACAGTCAGCACATTC